TGTGCGTGAGCTTGTGCGTGTGCGTGTGCGTGTGCGTGTGCGTGTGCGTGTGCGTGTGCGTGTGCGTGTGCGTGTGCGTGTGCGTGTGCGTGTGCGTGTGCGTGTGCGTGTGCGTGTGCGTGTGCGTGTGCGTGTGCGTGTGCGTGTGCGTGTGTGTGTGTGTGCGTGCGTGTGTGTGTGTGTTTGTGATGTATGCTTCGTGTGGTGCGTGCTTTTTGTGTGTTGTAGGTGTTGTGTGTGTATGTTATGTTTGCCTAGCGTGTGATGTGTTGGGCGTGATTTGTGTCTCTGTGCGCATGTAGTTCTGAAGCCCCGGGGGGCCCCAGGAGGCCCCAGGCGGCCTCAGGAGGCCCCAGGAGACCCCAGGAGGCTTTAGGAGGCCCCAAGAGGCTCCAGGAGGCCGCAGGAGGCCCCAGGAGGCCCCAGGAGGTTTCAAGAAACCCCCAGGAGGCTCCGAGGCGGGGTCTGGGGTGCCAGAAGGTTCAGAAGGCCCAGGAGGCCCCAGGAGGTTCCAGGAGGCCCCCAGGAGGCTCCGAGGCGGGGTCCGAGGCTCGATTTTGGAAGGATTTTTCAAGCGAAACCGCCATTCACTGAGAATCGGGGTCACAAGTATTGAAATTACCATGTGCGTTTGAAGGTTTTATGTTAAAATGTTGAATTTCCCATGTGTTGTTGGACCCTGACGTCGCGATCTGCGCGACGGGTGCCACCGATTTTCAGGATTTCGAGGATGTCCCGAGCGAAACGCCCAGAAAAATCGCGGACGCGTGCGCAATAATCGCCTCTGAGCTCTACTCCCTCGGAGAGGTGCGCATGAGAATACATATACATATGCATATACATATACATATTCATAGTCATATTCATATACCTATACATATACATATACATAAATATATATGAATATACATGCATACATATATATATATGTATGATTATTTACACATATACAAACATATGCATACATGCATATGTATATATATATATATATATACATATATATATGAATATAAAACAGCAATAAATACTGGGCGCGCGCTGCTGCTGCCGTTGTTGGTTTGTGTGGTGACGTTGCTGATGTCGCTTGCTGTTGGTGTGTTGTTGTTTGCTTGTTGTTTGCTGTCGTTGTTGCTGTTGCTGTTCCAACTTCCCCTCCTCATCATCCTCCTCTTGCCCCACACCCCCCTCATTTCCCTCCTCAACATCATCATCGGCACCCTCGTCATCATCGCCATCATCATCACCATCGTCAGGATCGAGGCTCAATCCACGATCCTCGGGTCGACGACCCAAGAACCTCGAGCCCAGGCTAGGCGAACCTCGAATCCACGATCCGAGGTACTCGAAGATGCTCGGAGCCAAAACCGATGATGCCCGAATCCGAGGGTCGGGGATCGAGCCTCGTCGACGGCGGCCTGGGCCCGAGAACGGCGACGAGAACGGTCGACGATGAACGACGCTCGATCCTCAACCCTCGGATCGAACATCCTCCATCTTGGATCCAAGCTGAGCGACCCTCGAATCTAGCAACCGAAGTGCTCGAAGATGCCCGGGCCCAAGATCGAAGATGCTCGATCCGAAAGTCGAGGATCGAGCGTCGTTGATGACGCCAATATAGAATCTCCTTGATCATCGGTCCTCGGATCGAGCATCCTCTGTCTTGGATCCAAGCTGAGCCATCCTCGGATCTAGGATCCGAGCTGCTCGGAGATGCTCGGGTCCAAGATCGAAGATGCTCGATCCGAGGGTCGAAGATCGAGCGCCGTTGATGACGCCAAGATAGTGAACCCTCGATCCTCAATCCTCGGATCGAGCATCCTCTGTCTTGGATCCAAGCTGAGCGACCCTAGGATCTAGGATTCCCGGTGCTCGGAGATGCTCAGATGCAAGATCGAAGATGCTCGATCCGATGGTCGAGGATCGAGCGTCGTTAATGGAGCACTCGAAGCTTCGCGGCGAGAGGGGAGGTGCTCGAAACGCAACTCGCTTGGGGAAGACCCCCCGACAGATTGCGCGAGGCGGTCGCCTCGCCAGGCCTCGCGCGGCCACCGCTCGCCGCCTCGGGCGCGCTGCATGCTCGACCCCTCGGCCTCGGGCTCGCCCCTGGCCTCGCCCTCGCTCTTCGCGGTCGCTCGCTACTTCTGCAGCTGCTCGAACATTTGGTTTGCCTCGACGACGGCTGGGAAATTCATCTCGCAGTGGCCCTCGACGCACTCCTGGCCATGGCGCTCGCGCGCGAGGTAAAGGTCCTCGTCGTACTTCTGGCGATCAGACATGTACCTGTCCTGGGAGATCTCGCGGCGCTTGTCCGCAGTCCGCTCGGCGTGGAGGCATCGACGGACCGCGCGCTCGGACGTCGCGATGCGCTTGCTGAAGCTCGACTGCAACATGTGGCACTCCGTGGCATACTTGACCTAGTTCTTGACACGTTCGTCGATCGTCTCGTAGAGTTTCTCGCCGTCGCCGACGCCCTCGTCGGGGATCGGCTCGAAGGACTTGTTGAGAGGCATGACCAGCTCGTGGAGAGCCGGGAGTTCCTCGCTCACCTCGCCGAGGCTCGCGTGGACGCGCTCGGCGTAGGACCCGCGGGGAAGCAATCGTCAGCTCGTTCTCGCCGAGCTAGACGCCCTTGGCCCGCGCAAATTCGAGCATCTTCTCGCGGGAACTCGGCGCGGGTCGGAAGTGGTCATCCGGTTGCTCGCCATGGCCCCCGAACATGTCGCACCAGCACTTGCCTTGCTCAACATGCGTCTGGTGACACAGAGCGACTGCCAGTTCGGCGCGCCTCTCGCCCTTGTCCTGGAAGGCGCCCCGTGCTCTATCGCCTTGAGGCCCCCGCCCTTAGGACGCATTCTCGAGGGCGGCTTGCTGCGCGCTCGAGGACTGGATCGCGTTCTCGGTTTTCAAGAAGCTCGCCGTCATCCGAGCCTCGTCAGTGCCTTGCGCGCTAGCTCGGCACTGACGCATCTCGGCACTTGAGACTTCGCCGCCGACGTAGCCGAGCTCCTCGATAATATGCTCGTTCTGGCTGGCGATCTTCTGGAGGACCTCCAGAGTCTCGAGCTGGGGGGTCTCGGGCGCGGACGCCGCGGTTGCCTGCTCGATGAGCTCGAGAAGCCCGGGCGGCTCGCAGCGCTCGGCAGGCGACGCTCCGGCGAAGCTCGCGAGCTTCACACGGCATCGGAAGGGGGGGGGGCCGGAGAGAAGAGCGCCCCGTGGAGATACCTATGGGGCCGCGAATGGCGCGAGGAGTGCGCTCGGCAGCACGCAGCCCCAGCGACGCGCATGGCACTGCGCAGCTCCAGCGACACGCCCGGCAATGCGCGGCCCCAACGACGCGCTTGGCAACGCAAAAATCATGGGAGTCCTTAGAAAATCTACATGCATCCTTAGAAATCCATTGGGTCTCTCCGGATATCCATGGGATTCCCGTGGAAATCTTCAGTTTCTCATGACATCCAATTGATCCCGGAGGAAGTCCATGGGATCCCAAAGAAACTCCATGAGAACCCTTGGGGAATCCGTTGGACGCCTTCGGAAATCTATCGGAATCCTCAGGAAATCCATCGGACTCCAGAGGAGATCACTGAGATTCCTTAGGACATCCTGTAGGAAATCGATATGAATCAAGAGGGAATCCATGGGAGTCCATGGGACATGGGCTTCCTGACGAAATCCGCCGGATGCCTTAGGACACCCATAAGATTCCGAAGGGAATCCACAATCCATAGGATCCCGCCGGAAATCCATCGGATCCCGTAGGAAATCCATTGGAAATCAACCAGGGAATCCAGAAGAGGAGGAGGATGGGGAGGAGAAGGAGGAAGAGAAGAAGAAGGAGGAAGACGAAGAACCCCAGGACCAGATTTCAAAAAAAAACTTGGATTCGGGACCCACGGTTTTTTATTTGTAAAACTTAACTCTTTCCTATCATTTTCAAAAGCGGAATATATATATATATATATAACAACAACAACAAACAAAAAAAACAAACAAAAAAAAAAAAAAACAAAAAAAAAAAAAAAAAAAAAACGAGCTGGGCGCGCGAGGAGGAGGAAGAACAGTAGGATTAAATAATTCTATAAGATTTCCCCTGGGACATAAAAAAGAAACCCCAGGAAAACCAGAGGATGCCTTCGAGTATTCAGGTATGTTTTCAAAGCTGCATAAGATTCCTACGGAAATCCGTAGGAGTCCTTAAGCAATCCACGCAATGCCTTACAACACCCAGAGATTTCCTGGGGTAATCATTAAATCTCATTGGGACATCCACCTGAGTCCTTAGGACATCTATACAAATCCTTCCGACACCCACAATATTCCTTAGGGAATCCATAGGAAGCCAAGGGACATCCATTGAATCCCCAAGACATCCATTAGGGAATATAGAAGGTTCCTTAGGGGAGTCCGTATGACCCCTTGGCAATATGTAAGAATCTCCCAAGAATTCCTTCGGATATCCATAGAATTCCATGTGGTTCCTTGGGGAAGCCATAAGATTCTTTAGTACACCTATACTAAGCCTTAGGAATTCCATCGGAATCCATTGGACATCCATCGGGATCCTTGGGGAATGCATCGGGGTCCTTAGGGAATCTGTCGGGTTTCTTGGGGAATCCATGGGATGCCGGAGGAAACACATCGGATTCGCAATGGAATCCTTAGGACTCATCCAAAGGATTCGTCAAGACAGTCACAGGATTATTGAGGACATCTATAACATTACGCGTGGCATCTAAAGGATTCTTCTGGCAATCCATAGGACCCCCCCAAGAAAGCCATAGAAGTCCGTGAAAAAGAAAACATCGCGTTCCTTGGGGCATCCGGGAAAATCCTTAGGACATCCACAGGATGCCCTGGGAAATCTATAAGATATGACATTCTTTTGGGCAAGAAACCAAAAGGTGCCTTAAGGTATCGATATAATCCCTGAGGGTGTCGGTGTTATTCTTATGGAAAATATAGGATTGTTAGAGAAACCCCTGGGAATACTTGGGCTATCGATAAGGTTCCATAGGAATGATGACCGAAGGATTCCTACGCATTCCCTAACGAATCATGCGGCTGGCTGAAGAAATCCCATGACATTCCGAAGGACGCCTTTAATGTTCCAAACAAGATCCCAGGATTGTCTACGAAGGGATCCTGTGGATTTCCTCATGAATCTTATTGGTCTCCTACGGGATCCCACGGATTTCCTAAGGAATCCGATGGGTGTCCGAAGGATCCTCATGGATGTCCCAGACATTCCTATATATTGCCCAAGGAATCCTATGGTTATCCTGAAGACCCCATGGATATCCTAAGGACCCCTATGGATTCGTTTTACGGATTCCTATAGATTTCTCTAAGGAACCCGATGGATGTTCTAAAAGATCCTAAAGATTTTGTAAGGAATCGTATGGATGTCCTACGGAATCCTATGCATTGCCTTAAGAGTCATATGTATTAGGAGTCCGACATATTTGTTAAAGATTCGATTGGACTTCCTCCGGCATCCTGTGGACGTCCTAAGGGATCCGATGGATGTTCTAAAGGTTCCTACAGATTTCCTCAGGGATCCGGTGGATTTCCGGAGAAATCCCATCCTAAGAACTCCGATGGATTCCCTACGGGATCCACTTGATGTCTTAAGGTTTTCCATGGAATTCCTGAAGAATCCGATGCATTTCCGAAGGACTCCTATGGATGTCCTACTGATGCTTATTGATTACCGACGGATTCCGATATATTGCCATCCTATGGAGTATCTCCGGAATACTATGAGTTCCCGAAGGAATCCTATGGATGTCCGAAGGAATCCTATGGCTGTTCAAATGAACCCGATGGATTTCTCTGGAATCGCCGCGTTTCCTGAGGAATCCAATGGCTTTCCTAAGGAACTCGATGGATGTCCTAAAAGCCCCGATTGATTTCCTAAGGGCTCCTATTGATTTTCCAGGGAATCAGATGGATTCCCGAAGGATTCCGAAACATGTCTTCAGGAATCCATGGGTCTTCCATGGATGTCCTGAAGCAAGAAATGCGCAGGATAACTCATGAATTCCATAAGATTGCTTTGAGATCCCGTAGGTAGGAAGTTCAGAAGATTCCTTCGGACATCTTTGGGATTCCTTCGGAAATCCATCGGAATCCATGGGGAAACCATGGGATTCCCTAGGACATCCATCGGAATCCTTAGGAGTCTTTGCTACTCAACGTAGGAAAAAGCAACTTCGATTCCCAATTTTCTCACGCAAGATAAAGTTCGGCCTTGCCGCCACTCTTCCTTGACAAAAACTGCATTCGCCGGGGATAATCAATACTCAGTCGTGAAAGGGGGGGGTAACTCATTATCCGGGGCTCGGGGTCAGTTACCTCATCCTCTTCCTCCTCCTCCTCCTCCTCCTCCTCCTCCTCCTCCTCCTCCTCCTCCTCCTCCTCCTCCTCCTCCTCCTCCTCTTCCCTGATCTCCCTTTCCTCCTCCCTCCTGCCCTCATTCCTCCCGTCCCCCCTCCTCCCGTCCCTCTCCCTCTCCCTTCTTCTTCTTCGATAGCATGCCGCCACCGGTCCGGCCGGCGCGGGTTTCTCCCGGCAGACTGGGAGAAACTTATTAAACGGATTTTATAAACCTGGCCCGACGGTCTGCCAGCGACTCAGCGAGCCCCGAAGCCTGCCACGGCAGGACTGACGGGGTTATCGCTGGACGCCCGTCGGGGGCGCGCTCTCTTGCCAGGTCCCCCCAGGGTCGAAGGACTCCCTCTCCCTATCCCTCGCCTCCCTCGACCCTTCCGTCCGCAGCCGCCAGGAGGAGGAGGAGGAGGAGGAAGAGAAAGACGGCTGGCCTTGAACAACATCCAGCAAAACAGCTCGGGGCCGCCGTTCAAGCCGGCCGCGATCTGCGCCTGCTCGGCCGCACTGGATGTGCGGGGGCGCCCCAACTGCCCGTTCCCCTCTTTATCCGGACGTGGGCTAGCGTCAAACCCGACCTCCCCTGACAAAAAGAACGCAGCAGCAACGAGGGGGGCCGAACGAGGGCCCGAAGGCGAGCGGTGCGAGGGCCAGGAAGGACAAGAGAAAGACCAAGATTGGAGGCGGCCGGGGGGTCTGAACTCGTTGGGACTCCAGAAAATCGGTCAGGATGGGGTTCCATCTGGTTCAGTGTTTTTTCCCTACGGCACGGGAGCAGCAATAGTTTCACATACTGTGAATGTACTGATGGACGCTACCACGAGTGGGAGTGAGACGGCCATGCCACACGACACCGAGGCCTCGGGCGACGCCGCCGAATCCTTCGAAAAGAATATACATGTTTAGCTCGCCGCTACAGCGCTTCCGAACTGGGGGGCTGCCCCTTGCCTTTAAAGGCCGTGCGCTGCAACGGTGCCGCACGCAGTTGGCGGGCGGACAAGCATTGCACGTTGAAATAGACCCTGAAACTGGCGCTCATCACGGATATGTTCCCTACGTTATGATAAGGCGGGGGAAGGTTAATGGGGGAGGAGGAGGAGGAGGAGGAGGAGGAGGAGGAGGAGGAGGAGAAGGACGCGGCCGGAGTCGAAACTGTGCACATCAACCTGCTCCGCTGGGACACGGCGGGAACGGCGCTAAGGGGGTCGGCGGAGAATCTCTTCAGGAAAATTAAGTCTGCAGCCTCATCACCATCATCTTCCCATATGGCCGAATCGCATTCACGACGATGTTGTCTGACGCAGGCGGAGATGGTGCCTGAGCTGGCGTCGGTGCTGGTGTAGACGCTGTGAGAGTATCGACATGGACGAAAATTATGCGGCGGTTTTCCGAAAGTGCTCCAGCCAAACCGAGATCTCCTCTTCCAGCCAGCCCGCTGGGGCGGGCCCCAGGTGATGGGATGTCTGTCCCTCGGCCCGAAGGCCCTCTAAGAGCATGGCGCGGCCGTCCCAGTCGTTGATGCCCAGCATTAACTTGGCGATGTTGGGGTCTGCGGTCTTCTCGACCCTGATGAAGTGTACTTGATCGTTGATATGGTCCATGTCGATTGTCGGCTCGGTCTCGTGGTCCTTCGGCTGGCATTTCTCGAGGTACGCGTTCGCACGCGGCCGCCTATCTCGCAAGCCTGAAGGCCCTCGAGCATCGCCAGGGCCAGCGCGGGGGTCGGAGGTCCCAAGTGCTTGAAACCTTCTTTGTCCTTCGCCGATCGTAGGCCGTTGACCCTCTCGCGGAAGCCCTCCAGCTCTTCCGCGGTGTGGCTGATGATCGGGTGGGTGATCTTCATCGTGAACGTGTCTGCCACCGCGCACATCATCAGTCCGATCCGCTGCGTATTCTGTCATGTCAACGTCATGAGTGTCAGGAGTAGCGAATGAAGAGTCCCGGATCCGTTCTTCACGGCCCCCAGGGCCCGAAGACAGAGCCCGGGGGCAGAAAAGGGCACAGGGCCTTCCCGGGCCCAGAGCCTCGGACCTCGAACCTGCCCGTCCTCTCGGCTGGCGGGAACCAGTGCTGGGCCAACTCCAAAACCGAGACGCAGCAAAAGTCGGGGACGCCCAAAAAGGGGGCGTCCAAGAGGGGGAGCGCAAATCATGGCCGGCGGCAGGGCCGGTGCCGCAGTGAAATCAGGAGAGGCGCCATGAAATCTGGGGAGATGTCATGGCCCCCGCCATGGGATCCACCCACCTGAGTCATCACCCCCCTCGTACCCCGCCCCCGAAAGAAGACCTCGACTCCCCTCACCGCCAGGCGGCGCAGCAGACATCCTGCCGGCCGTGCCCCAGCCTGCGGGCGGGCGATAGGCCAGGCCTGGGAGCCGTGGGCGGGCCTGCGGGCGGCGAGAAGTCGACGTGCTGCACGCGGCGGAGCAGGGCACCACTTCCCAGACATGCTGGCGTCGTGAAAAAATCGAGACGTGAAGCCTCTCTAAATGTTCGGCCTCTGGGGGCCCTCTCCGGGCCCCAGGACAGTCAGAGAACGACTCGCGACGAAAAAACGGCCCTGGGGCAGGGGGGAAGTGAGAAGGGGCGGGCCTTCTCAGAAGGCTCTGAAGTCCCACGGCCTTGTGAGAAGATTTCAAAGCCTTCCACGAAGACACAGATCACCTCTCAGAAGGCCGGAGGACTTCTGAGAAGCCCCGCCCTTTTCTGAGAAGGCCTTCTCCTTCTCACTTCCCCCCTCGCTCGCCGCCGCAGGACACCACTTCATCAAGGCTCAACCCAGACTTCACTTGTGGTCAGAGCATTGGATACGGAGCCGTCGGCGGCAACTCATGGGAGCCTCCCATACAAATTTTAACGGCACTTGCGAATCGGCGCTCATCGACGCTTGTCGGCGCTAATCGACGCTAGATCGACGCAAATCGGCCCTAATATACACTAAATCGGCGCTACCTCATCGACTCCCAAACGCTAATCGACGCGAGTCGACGCTAAAGACGGAATTAAGTGGGCATACAAGTATCCCATGAGTTGCTACCGAAGGAACCCTTCAATAAGGAGTCCAGGGTCTGAAAGCAGGTGCACCAACTGCGGATTGGCCATGGATGTCACTGCCGCCCTCATCAGCTAAGGAATCCTCCAGGGTCTGAAGCCTCCTGGGCACATTCCTTAACGAACGCCCCCACCGTATGACTCAACTCCGCGCGCAATTCGGACGATGACGCTGTTCTCCGATGCTGGAGAGCAGAGAGCAAGACAAAGAGGGGGAGCATGGGGAGAGGTGCTTACGTAGTGTGCTTGATGCTGGAGCGCCATGTGGAAGATGGCGGGACTCTCCGACGGTGGTGCTGGAAAAAAGGCAATAAGGAATCGATGGGATCTTATGGCAGAGCCACGTGGAAGATGGCGCGAATCTCCAATGACTGGGAAGAGATCCGCGGGCGGGCGGGCGGGCGGCAGGCCAGGCGGGTTCCGGGGGAGGGCCAACGGGGGCAAAGAAGTCGACGAGCTGCACGCGACGGACAAGAGCCCCACAGACGTCATCATAACATAAGTCAGACTTCACTCATGACGCAGTTCCAGATCGTGTGCTTGGTCCACATAACCACATTCTTGAGCCATTTGGAAGACGGCGCGCTACGACATTGGACAGAGGAGAGGGAGGCCCATCTCTGGCGAGAGGGAGGGGACGGGGAATGAACAGTGAGTACCTTGGGATTGGTGCGGAAGCGCCATCTGGAAGAGGGCGAGAGGCTCCGACGGTGGTGCAGGTGAAGTGCGACGGACGACGGGGGCATCGAATGGGTGTTTTGGTTATCGGCGCCCCGTGCATGTAGGCCTCCCACATGGGGTCCGAGCAGATGGGGTCGGAAGATCGCACCGCATCAACGATACATCGGCAATGCATCGGCGATGTATCGGCGATGCCCCGTCGACGTCGGCGACGCATCGGCAAGGTCGACGTGAAGAGAATCGGGATCCACATCGAGCCGCATCGCCGATGCATCGGCGACGCGGAGGGATCCTTCGACCCCGGCCACCCGGACCTCGTTTGGGAGGCCTCGAGTGGAAGGCGGCGCAAGTCTCAAATGACTGGGCATGTGGCGAAGGAGGGAAGGTCGGCGGTCGGTGGGAGCGCGGGCGCGGGCAGACCGGCGGCAGGCCCGGCGGGGGCCAGAAACGCGGCCTGCTGGCGCAAAAAAAAGTCGAGGTGCTGCACGCGACGGAAACGGTTCCGACTCCACGCCCTCGTGGTCTGGGCTCCGGGGCGCACGGATACGGATACGTCACGCGCGGGGCATCCGCGAAAAAACGCCCCATATCCGTCCGCGGGGTGGCGGCCCAGGGGCCCGGCCCGCGAGGCCGCGGGTACGAGTATGCTCTTCGCCCTCGAGACTCTCAGCGCTTTTTCATACTGATGACTCAGCTCTGCGCGCCATGTGGAAGACGGCGCAATTCTACGATATGTTGGAGTGGAGAGGGCCGGGCCGTGAGGGGATATGGCGAGAAGGGGGGGAGGAGGAGGAGGAGGAGGAGGAGGAGGAGGAGGAGGAGGAGGAGGAGGAGGAGGAGGAGAAGGAGGAGGAGGAGGAGGAGGGGGAGAAGGAGGAGAAAGAGGAGTGAGTATTTCGGGATTGATGCGGCAGCGCAATATCGAAGATGGGGCGAATCTCCGACGGCAGTACGGGAGGCAGAGACGCAGGGGGCATCGATGGGTTTTCTGGCAACGCACGTGGGAGACGGCGCGAATCTCCTCTGACTTGGAAACTGGCGAAGGAGGGTGGGCCGGAGGGTGGGCGGGCACGGGGGGGCGGGTGGCAGCGGGCTGGGCGGGTGCCTTGGGCGGGCCGGCGGGCCCGAAGAAGTCGATGTGCTGTACGCCACTGACAAAGACACTCCGAAAGAGTTTGTTATGATTCGGCTCAGACTTCCCGAACGACGCGGCTCCGAATCTTGCCCTTGGTGGACATTACCAACCCCCCTTGCGCCATCAAGAAGCACTTTCCTCGGGGCGTCCTGGGCCGGGAGCGGCATGCAGCAGGGAAAGGACTCTGGGCGTGCAGAACGGCGGGGTGAAGGGGTTGCGGAGCGCGTAGGGGAAGACTCTTGGTCGACGAGGGCACAGTTCAATTGCCGCGCGACGGCTCTCGGCCTTCATCTGTTGATTTTCTGGCGCGCGCGCGCGCAAGGCTTTGAGTCCAGAGTTGGCGGGGTATTGACGTGGACACCTCGCGGGCACGTGACGTGGGGGATCGGTCGCGACTGAGCGGCCGTGTGACATGGACCCCCTGTTCCAAGGGGGCGGTTTCGTTACACAGTAGGCTACGTGGTATGGACTCTCCACTGCATGCAAATTCCACAACGAATTGGCGCTCTATCCTTGTTTCGACAAGGACACGCTGCTGGCTCCCGGTCAACAGCGCTGGTGCAGCAGCGCCCGTTCGTGGGGAGGCGGGGGGTGGCCCGCAGACCCGTGCAGCGAATTCACATGTACCACGTTCATCCCGCTCATGACCTACACAGCTTAGTGCCTCCGGCGCTCTTCAAGTGTGTGCGTGTGTGTGAGTGTGCGTGTTTCGGGGATACTGCTCACCCCCCGACCCTTAACCCCAAATCTCCGATGGTATGGTGTGTTCACTCATGACACTTTTTCCTCGATCTCGGCCTCCTGGGGCACGTTATCGGGTTCTTGGGCCATGGCCGAAAAACGACCCCCGGGGAAGCGGGCCAGAGCTCTGGGGCCGCGAGCGGTGCATGGGAGTCCCATCTTCTTCCTGCCTCGCCCTACCCTCCCCCCCTGGCCCTTCTCACATGCCCGCCCCACCAGGCCTGGACATCCGAGGACACCGGCTTCTCCCTGCGGGACTTGGCGGCCGCGGAGTCTGCAGGAAGCCCGTGCCAGTGGCCAGTCGCGCAGGGCTCCCTGCCAGAGTACCAAGAAGGACATACAGAGCTGCCAACACCTCCACTGAGGGGAACGCGGGGGCAGTAAGCGACCACAACCACATCGACGACACGCCCTCGGGGATGCTTGTTGCATGCCAGCAATCGTCAGAACACCGAAACCAGCTGAGTACTGGCTGTGGTCGATGAGGGCGTCCAGGACGACCAAATCGACCAAAACCATAACCAGAGTGTTCATGTCGAGGATGGGCCCTCCAGAAAAAACAGTCGGCAATGGCTGTGGTTCTCTGCTGTGCCCAGAAGGGAAGCGGAGGAAAGATGAAAGGGGAGAGGCCGGGGCGGGCAGCTTTCCCCGGCCGCTCCGTGCAGCCTGCACCCGTCCCTGCCCTCGGAGCTGAAAAAGGCCTGGAAGTCCTGGAAGGCGGAGCTGGCGTTGAGGCCCGGGTACCACTCCGGGTTCGAAGCGACGCCTGTCTGCATCGCCCACTGGATCTGTCCGTAGCACTGCTCGCCCGGGGCCGCGTCGTGGCAGTCCTTCTGGACCCCCGCGGCGCCCGTCGCTCTGCGACGCTCCTGAGGGACAGAGACTGTAAAAATGTACACGTTCGGACGCTCGCGCGGATGTCTTGGGTAGGCGCCAGGCCCCCTCCACCACAACACGGCCCTCATCTGGCGGCGTCAGGGGCACGTGGAGGGGGGCACAGCGCCGACCCAAGAAATCCGCGCCGACCTCCGACAGCTAAATCCGAGGTGTTCAAACTCCCCCACGATCATCCAGCCACGCAGGGCATGCTTATTCGATTCCGGGCTCCCTTCCCAGACATCCGATCCCTTGCATTCTCGCAGCGCGGCCTGGCCCCTGGAAGTCAAGACCCTCTCGCCAAGGCCAGGGCGTTACATCCTGAACCGTTCTCCGACGGCCGCGGGGCCTGAAGAACGAGGAACAACTCCTGGACGCCGCGTGCCCCAAGGTCACCTAACGTGGCGCATCGCGTCCCGTGATGCGCGATGCGTGGTCATCTTCGCACCCTCACGCCGCCGCCTTGGAGAGGGGCGCGCGCCCCTGGGGATGACCTGTGAGTGCCTGGGCCTGGGGAGTCCGAACTCGATCCCTGGACATCTCCCCGGCTGCGTTCTTGACAGAATCTCGAGGAGAACCTGGCCGTGGCCACAAGTGACCCCGCGGAGGCCCAAAGAGCTTCTCGCATCTCGGAGCTCCACCCCGCTCGACCTGGGCGCCTCGCCTCACCCGCCGATGCCAGACCCGAAGAGTGACAGAGCACCCTGAGCAAAACGCCCTGCAGTGAAAGCTGTCAGGTGCACTGCACGTGCGCACAGCACCGCATTCATATGGATCCAAGCGGGCTAGCTCACCGACGTCCAAAAACGACCGAATCTATCTGGCGATGCACGCCGATTAACGAGCGAGACCCACTGGGGACTGCACCGGTGCACTCGAATGCCCATGTGGAGTGCTCCGGCGCAGATTTCCTCGGTCGACTTGCCTGGGTGGGCGCTCTCTCCATGCACAACACAACAAATGACGGTTTCATCCCTGTGATGGGGATAGCTCGTTTTTCCCAGCGATTTGGGTGACCTTTCGGCGACTACGTCGCCTCTTCGAAACTGGCCTGAATTGACACGGCAATGGCCTCCCCTCCTGCCAGCACGCGCGCGCAGGAGCAACGAGGGGATGGGAGAAGAAGGCACTGCCTGACTGCGCCGCTCCGCTTCGAGGAGCTGGCGCCGGAAGCGAGAGAAGCTGGGACCGACAAGATCCTGGGACCGACCAAAAACAATTGCACCCCAGCATCCCGAAAAATACCGTCGGACCGAAAGAGCTCCTTGCTGGAGCCGCTGGACCCCGATGGCGCCCCCCGATGCCCATCTCCCCCTCCGGTGGCTCTCGGGCCCAAGCTCGGGCTGCTGGCGCCACCTCGGGACGATCCAGGCACCCCACCAGCGCCCTCGGCGAGGCGCGGCGGCCTGGACGGCCGCCGAGAGCCGACGAGAACACAGGGGAACTCCTTCTCCTCCCACTCCTCCTCCTCCTGCTCCTCCTCGATGGCCCCCTCGGCGTCCTCCGCCCCGCTGCGCTCTGGCTGCTCGCGGCTTTCCGCGGCGGCCGCCGGCGCGTCGGCGGCGGAGCGTTCCGGGGCCGCGTCGCCCTCCTCGGGCGGCGCCACAGGACAGCGCGGCGCGAGGGTCGGCGTCGATCGTCGGTCGTCGTCGTCGCGGTCCTCGTCGTCGCTCGTCGTCGGTCGTCGTCATGGGTCGTCGCAATCGTCGCTCGTCGTCCGTCGTCCGTCGTCCGTCGTCGTCGTTCGTCGTCGTCGTCGGTCGTCGTTCGTCGTCGTCATCGTTCGTCGCCGTCGTCACCGTCGGCTTCGGCGTCGGCGTCGTCGTTGTCGTTCGCCTTCGGTCGTCGTCGTCGGTCGTCGTCGTCGTCGTTCGTTCGCTCGTCGTGCTCGTCGTCGTCGTTCGTGATAGTCGTCGCTCGTCGGCGTCGTCGTCGTTCGTCGTCGTCGTCGGCGTCGGCATCTTTGTCGTCGTCGTTCGTCGTCGGTCGTCGTCGTCGGTCGTCGTCGCCTTTGCCGTCATTCGCTCGTCGTCCTCGTTGTCGTCGATCGTCATCGTTTGTTGTCGTTCATTGTTGTCGTCGGTCGTCGACGTCGTCGTTCGTCGTCGTCGTTCGTCGTCGTTCGTCCTCAATAGTCGTCGTCGTCGTTCGTCGGTCGTCGTTCGTCTTTCATCGTTAATCGTCATCATCTTCGTCGTCATCGTCGTCATTCGTCGTTCGTCGTTCGTCGTTCGTCGTCGTCATCGTTCGTCGTCGTCGTCGCTCGTCATTCGTCGTCTTTCGTCGTCGGTCGTCGCCGTCGTTGGTCGTTGACCGTCGTCCTTCGTCGTTCGTCGTTCGTCGTCCTCATTAAACGTCGTCGGCATCATCGTCGTGTTTCGTCGTGCGTCGTTCGTCGTATGTATGCACTCGTCGTTCGTCTCTCGTCCTTCATCATTCGTCGACCGTCCTTCGTCATTCACCGTTCGTCGTCATCGTCGATCGTCGTTCGTCGTTCGCCATTGTCGTAATCGGCGTCGTCGTCGCTCGTCGTCGTTGGTCGTCGTCGTAGTCATCGTCGACGTCGGCAACGGCGTCGTCGTCGTCGTTCGTCGTCGGTCGTCGTCGTGGGTCGTCGTCGTCATTCGTTCGTCGTCAGCGTCGTCCTTCGTCGTTGTCGTCGTCGTCGGTCGTCGTCGCCGGCGTCGGTCGTCGTCGTCGGCGTCTTCGTCTTCGTCTTCGTCGTTCGTTGTCGTCGTCGGCATCGGCGTCGGCGTCTTCGCCGTCGTCGTTACCATCGTCGGCGTCGTCGTGGGCCGTCCTCGTCGTCGTCGTCGTTCGCTGGTCGTTCGTCATTCATCGTCGTCGCTCCGCGATCGTCGTTCGTCGCTCGTCGTTCGTCGCCCGTCATCATCATTCGTCGTCGTTATCGTCGACGGTCGTCGTTTATCCTTCGTCGTCGTCGTTCGTCGTCGCCGTCGCTTGCCATTCATCGTCGTTCATAGTCAGTCGTCGTCGTCGTCGTTGGTCGTTGTTCATTCGTCGTTCGTCGCTCGTCGTCGTCATAGTCGTCGTTCGTCGTTCGTCGTCGACGTCGGCGTCGTTCGTCGTTCGTTCCTCGTCAATCGTCGCTCGTCGTTCGTCGTTCGTCGTTCGTCGTCGTCGTTCATCGTGTGTCGTCGTCGTGATCGTCGTCGACGTCGTTCGTCGTCGAAGGTCGGTCGGTCGTCGTCGTCGTCGGCGACGGCGTCGGCGTCGGCGTCGGCATCGGCGTCGACGTCGTTCAACTTCGGTCGTCGTCGTGGGTCGTCGTCCTCGTTCGTCGCTCGTTCGTCGTCCTCGACGTCTTCGCTCGTCGTCGTTATAGTCGCCGCTCGTTGGCATCGTCATCGGTGGTCATCGTCGTCTGCGTAGTCGTTCGTCGCCGTCATTCGTCGTCGGCGTCGGCGTCGGCGTCTTCGTCTTCGTCGTTCGTTGTCGGTCGTCGTCGTCGTCGTCGGCAACGGCGTCGGCGTCGGCGTCGGCGTCTTCGTCGTTCGTCATCGGTCGTCGTCGTCGTTCGTCGTCGTCGTCGCTCGTCGTCGTCGTCGACTCTCGTTCGACGTCGTTCGCCGTCGTTGGTCGTCGTTCGTCGTTCGTCGTTCGTCGAGCGCCGTTCGCCGTTCGTCGTTCGTCGTCGTCGCTCGTTGTCGTCGCAATCGTCGTCGTTCGTCGTTCGTCGTTCGTCGTCGTTCGTCGTTGTCGTCGTGGTTCGTCGTCGCCGTCGCTCGTCGTCGTCGTCGCCTCTCGTTCGTCGTCGATCGCCGTCATTAGTCGTCGTCGTCGTTCGTCGGGCGCCGCTCGTCGTTCGTCGTTCGTCCACGTCGTCGTCGCCGTCGGCGTCGGCGTCGGCGTCGGCGTCTTCGTCGTTCGTCGTCGGTCGTTGTCGTCGTCGTTCGTCGTCGCCGTCGCTCGTCTTCGTCGTCGCCTCTCGTTCGTCGTCGTTTGTCGTCGTTAGTCGTCGTCGTCGTTCGTCGTTCGTCGGGCGCGGCTCGTCGTTCGTCGTTCGTCGTCGGCGTCATGGTTCATCGTCGTCGCCGTCGTCGTCGTTCGTCGTTAGTCGTTCGTCATCGTTCGTCGTCGTCACACGCCACTCGTCGTCGTTCGTCGTCGGTCGTCGTCGTCGCCAGTTGTCGTTCATCGTTTGTCGTTCGTCGCTCCTCCTTCGTCGTCCTCATTAGTCGTTGCCGTCGTGTCGTCGCCGTCATCGTCGTCGATCGTCGTTCATCGCTCCGCATCATCATTCGTCGTTTGTCGTTCGTCCTTTGTCGTTGGTTGTTTGTCGTTCGTCCTTCGTCGTTTGCTGTTCGTCGTCGTCGTCGGTCCTCGTTAGTGGTTCGTGGTCGTCGTGATCGTCGTCGCCGTCGATGGTCCTCGTCGGTCGTCGTCGTGGTCGTTGTCGGCGTCGTCGTCGGCGTGGGTGTTGGCGTCGTCGTCGTCGTTCGTCGCCGTTAGTCGACGTGGGTTGTCGTCGTTGTCGCCGTCTTTCGTTCGTCATCCTCGTCGTCGTCGTTCCTCGCCGTCGCCGCTGTCGTCGTCGTCGATGTCGTCGTTCGTCGTTCGTCGTCGTTGTCGTCAATGGTCGTCACAATCGTCGTCGCCGTCGTCGTCGTCTTCTTCGTCGTCGGTCGTCGTAGACACCGTAGTCGTCTGTCGACCGCCGTCGTCTCCTGAGAAGCTGACAGGGCGCAGACTGCTTGAAAAGTCTGGGCCCAAGGGTCGTCGTCGTTGTTCGGCGTCGTTCGTCGGCGTTCGTCGTCGTTCGTCGTTCGTCGTCGACGCCGTGCTCGTCGTCGGCGTCGCCAGCGTCGTCGAGATCGTCGTCGTTCGTTGTCGCCGTCGTCGTCGTGATCGTCGTCGTCGTCGTCGGCGGTCGCCGTCGTCGTCGTCGTCTTCGTCGTGGGTCGTCGTCGTTCGTGGTCGCCTTCTGGGGAGGCGAAACGCGGCAGAGTGCTGGGCCCGTCGGTCGTCGTCGGTCGTCGGTCGTCGGTCGTCGGTCATCGGTCGTCGGTCGTCGGTCGTCGGCCGTGGGTCGTCGGTCGCCGGCGTGGTCGTCGTCGGCGTGGTTGTCGTCGCCGCCGCCGCCGCCGTCGTCGTCGACGCCGTCGTCGTCGCCGCCCGTCGTCGTCGTCGTCGCCGTCGCGCCGCCGCCGACGCCGCCGCACCCGCCGCCGCCGTCGTCGTCGCCGTCGTCGTCGTAATCTTCGTCGTCGTCGTCGGCGGCGGCGTCGCCGCCGTCGTCGACGCCAGCGTCGGCATCGGCGTCGGAGTTGGCGTCGGCGTCGGTGCCGGCGTCGGCGTCGGCATCGGCGTCGACGTCGGCGTCAACGTCGTCGTCGTTCGTCGTCGGTCGTCGTCGTGGGTCGTCGTCGTCCTCGTCGTCGTCGTTACCGTCGTCGGCGTCGTCGGCGTCGCAAGTCACGTCGTCGTCGTCGCCGTCGGCGTCGGCGCCGTCGTCGTCGTGCTCGTCGTCGTCGTATTTGGCGTCGGTAGTCGTTGTCGTCGTCGTCTTCGTCGGTCGTCGTCGTCGTCCTAGCCGTCGTAGCAGTCGTCGTCGTCGTGGGCGTCGCAGTCGTCGTTCATCGGTCGACGTTAGCGTCGTCGCCATTGTCGTCGTCGCTCGTCGTCGTCGCTCGTTCGTCGCCCTCGGCCCTCGTCGACATCATTGTCGTTCGTCGTCGTTTGTCGCTCGTCGTTCGTATTTCATCGTCGTGTTCGTCGACGCCGTCGGCATCTTTGTCGCTGCGTCGTCGTCGTTGGTCGTCGTCGTCGTCGCCGTCGGCGTCGTCGTCGCCGTTTGTCGTTGTCGTCGGCGTCGCCTTTAGCCTCGGTCGTCGTCGTCGTGGTCGTCGGTCGTCGTTTGTCATCGGCGTCTTCTCAAAAGGCGGAAGGGGGCAGAGTGCTAGACCCGTCGTGGTCGCTGTCGTCGTCGTCGGCGTCGCCTTTAGCGTCGGTCGTCGTCGTCGTGGTCGTCCGTCGTCGTTGGTCGTCGGTGTGCTCTCAAAAGGCTGAGGGGGGAAGAGTGCTGGACCCGTCGTCGTCGTTGTCGTCGTCGTCGGCGTCGCCTTTAGCGTCGGTCGTCGTCGTCGTGGTGGTCCGTCGTCGTTGGTCGTCGGCGTCCGCTCAAAAGGCGGAAGGGGGCAGAGTGCTAGACCCGTCGTCATCGTTGTCGTCGTTGTCGTCGAAGGCGTCGCCGTCGTCGTCGTACATCGTCCGTCGTCGTCATGGTCGTCGTCGTCGTAGTTGTCGTCGCTCGGTGTCGTCGTCGTTCGCCGTCGTTCGTCGTTCGTCGTTCGTCGTTCGTCGTCGTCGCCGTCGTTTGTCGTTTGTTGTTTGTCGTTGTGTTCGTCGTCGTCGTCTTCGTCATTGCCGTCGTCGTCGTTCGTCGATCGGCGTCGTCGTCGTGGGCGTCGTCGTTGGCGGTCGTCTTCGCGGTCGTCGTTGTCGTCGGTCGTCGTCGTCGTCGTCGTCGTCGTCGTCGTCGTCGTCGTCGTCGTCGTCGTCGTCGTCGTCGTCGTCGTCGTCGTCGTCGTCGTCGTCTTCGTCGTCGATCGCAGTCCGTCGATGTCTTCTGACAAGGCGAAAGGGGGCAGGGTGCTGGGCCCGTCGGGGTTCGGCTCATCCCTGTGTCGGCCTGCGGCACTTCCCCACGTTTGGCCACAAACGCACGTGGTGGCCCTGCCCCCGTAGGGGGGCTTCTGTCTGACACAGCCTTTCCCGCTGCTGCCTCTAGCATCGCACAGATGTGCGCATGGGTACCCGCGCACCGACAACGTGTCAGCGCCAGCAGCCACGAAAAATTGTGCCACAAGCGCACCAAGCGTGCTCAACCACATGCACTAGCCAAACCCGCGATCACCTGAGGGCCAACCTGCAATAAGCAAGCAACAGGCGAAACCTTGGTCAGCGCAAATGAACTAAACCGGGCGTAGCCACGGCAGAGTAGCAAGGCCAGGCCTCCAAGACGGCCGAAGATATCCCCAGGACGGCCCCAAGAGGGGGCCAGACGGGGAACACGAACGGACATTTCGAGCCCTCGGCCCCAAGAGGCTCCCAAGACGCCCAAAGAGGCCTCGAAGAAGCGTCTCAAGAGGGCCCCAGGAAGCAAAAACCATCGATGCCCCTTCGGTGTTTCAAGGATTTGGGAGTTCTCATCTGTTCGGCTTCCCGACGCTTCAAGACGGCCCAAGAGGCCCCACAGATCGCCCCAAGACAGCCCAAAGAGGCCTCCAAGAGAGCCCCAAGACGGCCCAAGAGGGCCCCAAGACGGCCCAAGAGGCCTCCAAGACGGCCCAAGATATCCCCAGGACGGCCCAAAGAGGGGGCCAGACGGGGAACCCGAACGGACGTTTCGAGCCCTCGGTCCCAGGAGGCGCCCAGGAGGCCTCAAGAAACTCCCAAGAGCCCCCCAAGAGGCTCCAAGAAACCGCCAAGAGCCCCCAAGAGAACCCCACAAGAGGCCCCCAAGAGGCCTCCCAGAGGCCCCAAAGAGGCCCCCGAGCCTAGCGATGGCACAATCGGACCGAGACGCCCAAGATGGCTTCCAGACGGCCCACGACGCGTTCAAGACACCCCAAGAGACCACCAAGAGGCTGAAATTTCGAACCTTCCCCGAAAGATCCTCCCAAAGCGGCGTCTTGTCCACGACCAAGTTTGGCCACATAATACCACAAGAAACCATCGCGAGGCCTCCTCCTCCTCATCATCATCATCCTCATCCCCCCCCTCTCCATCCTCCTCCTCCTCCTCCTCCTCCTCCTCCTCCTCCTCCTCCTCCTCCTCCTCCTCCTCCTCCTCCTCCTCCTCCGCCTCCGCCTCCGCCTCCGCCTCCACCTTCTCGCTCGCCACGATCACACGAACATGTAACACCAGTGATGCAATATGGGCCGGCGGAATGAGCGAAACGATTCAATAAAATAAAACGGGCGTAGCCACGGCAGAGTAGCAAAGCTATCTTGGAAGGCAGGGGTCTTTTTTTTCATCCCCTTGTAAATAATGTAACTATGTTTCATATTTTCGCCGCGCCCATCCAATTCTCAATGTTTAGTCGGCCGCGGCTGACAGCAGACAAATCGAGTCGCGCGGCGCCCCAGGCGAACATTGAAATTAATGGGCTCGGGGAGACGGAACGCGCGCGAGAGTTGTAGTTCTCTGTCAGGAGGTAGTGCAGGAAGGCCGTGCGGCTCCCATGAAGGCTTCCTAGAATTCGAAGCCGCCAGGCCTTCTGAAAAGATATCTGGAAAGCCCCATCCGCCTTGGAAACGGCCATGGAGTCTAAGCTGGACGGTTCCCGAGAAACTCGGTCAAGACGGGGTGTGGACCCCTCCTGGGGTCCATCTGATGAAGCGTCTGTCCCCAGATCCGTTTCTGATAGTCCCGGGGCCCGCCAACCGCCGCGAGGCCGAGAAAAAAGGCCTCCAACAAAAAAAAAACCCTCGCCGGAGCCGGGGCTGGGCCACTGCAGCTCCTCAGCCAACTCCAAGGCCCCTCCGCCTTCTGGGCAGGCCGCCCACCACACGCCACCCCCTCTGGGGCGCCGCCGGTGGCTCCTCGGGCCGAGGCCCTCGCCGCGCCGCCTGCGTCTCCTGGGGGCCCGGCTTTGGGCGCGAGCCGCGCCGCTGCTTGGAGGCCTCCAGCGCCTCCGGGCGGCTCCGGCAGTCGAGGGCTCTGACGATGCGACTCTTCGATGCCGAATCGTTGTCGTGAGCAAACGACTTTCTGTGCGGCGAAGGCTGTGCAAACCCATACTAGCTCGCGCCACGAAAAAATCAACGCGGCAGGTACTCTTTAACGCTTTGGATCCTGAGGAGCCCTTCCCAGGCCCCAGGACCGTCAGGAACCGATTCGGGATGAAAAGCTGATCCCAGGGGAGGGGCTGGGACTTCCAAGGAATCGGAATCCGCTCTGAAGAACGACAAAGCCGACCTATTGCTAGATGACCAACGTCGCGGGCCTAGGCCAAATACAGCTCTCACCTTCTAGCCACAAGCGTCTATAGGCACATTGGGTATCGTCACGTGTACAAAGACATTCGGGGTAGATCCGTCCACAAACAACGCGGACGCTGCGTTCAGTGCATCTCAAAGTTGGAGAAAGAGTAGGCCCGACTACGGTATGCTCCTGTACTAGAGCAAGTCCCACGTGGTAACAATCCAAATGCGGCGTCTTGACTTTTTGGGGCGGGGCCCCAGGAAGTCCCAACCCATCCCCTGGGACCAGTCTTTCGTCCCGAGCCGATTCTCGACAATCCGGGGGCCCGGTGAAGGCCACCGGGGGTCCCAGCCTTCCGGCTTGCTGTTTTCACGACGCGAGCCTGTTTGGGCCGGGGTCAAAAATCCGCAGCGTCGGAACAGGTCCCACGTGGTAATCCACGCGCGATGCCTCCTCGTCGATGCTGGCCTCCGCGGCCCGCTGTCGGGCCCCAGGGCCATCAACAAAAACTGCTGTGACATGGGGGCGTGGAGAGGCGGGCCAGGGGCGGGCAGCTGTCCCGAACAAGTGGAGAACACACGACAACAGAAAATGGCCCTGCGACGCACCCAACCCATCGGCACCGCGGAAAATACAAGGTGCGCGAGCAATCGTGCGACAGCAACACAGCCAGAGCCGGTTGCAAGGGGGCGATCTCTATCGTGCGAAGCGTGCGTGGCCGACTCGCAAAACAGAGGTACAAAAGGCCAGGAGGCATTATACAGGGAAGGAAAAGCAAAAGGAACACATCGGGGCGAAAGAACAATCACCTCGGCCGAAGCAGCGAGATGATGGAGCATGGGCAAGGTCAGGTTACATAGGCGGAGAAGCAACCAGACAATGAAGCGTCGCGCTTTTCATCGCCGAAGTGCTCAACACCTGCGTTGCCAGCGCTCCGCTTTGATGCGGCGCGCCAGGAGAGATAAACAAAACAGGCGGTTCGTGCAAGAAGCGGTCAACGCCTGGCTCGCCCGCCAACCTCTCTGGTTCCCGCCCTGCACCTCGGAAATGGCGACAATTTCGAAGATCGCAGCCCCGCGGGGATGGCGAGGTCAAGTCTGAGTCCGGGTAAGACGTCACTGCGCTGGAACCCCCAGCAGCCGTCGAAACCGGCGACAGCTTTGCAGATCGCTGCCCCATGAGGATGGAGAGGTACATTTGAATCCTGGTACGACGCCACTCCGCTGGCCACCCAGCAGACATCGAAGGCGGCGACAGTTTCGCAGACCGCAGCCCCCCAAAAATCGCGAGGTCTAATCTGAGTCTGCGTGGGGCGTCACTCCGCTGGGCCCCCGGCTGCCCTCGAACGCGGCGACAATTTCGCAGATCGCGACCCCCCAGGGATGGCGAGGTCTACTCTGAGTCCGGGTAAGACGCCACGCCGCTAGACCCCCCGGCAGCCCTCGAAAATGGCGACACCTTTGCAGATCGCAGCCCCCCAGGGATGGCGAGGTCTAGTCTGAATGTGCGTAGGACGTCACCCGCTGGACCCCCCACTGGCAACATTTTCGCGGATCGCAGCCCCCCAGGGATGGCGAGGTCCAATCTAACTCTGCGTTGGACGCCACTCCGCTGGACCCCCAACAGCCCTCGAAAATGGCGACACTTTCGCAGATCGCAGCCCCAGTCCGATGGCGAGGTAGGAGACATGCTGGCGCGCCAAGATGAACGAGGCAAGAGGCAGGCAGGAAAGACGAGAGAAGGAGGGAGGCGGGGAATAAGGAAGGCGAGAGATGTGCAACCGCAATGCAATTCAAAACGAATACCCAACGCAGGAGCGTTGGGAAAAATCGCGCGCCCTCCCCCCCCCCCCCGCCCACCCCCTAACCCTCTTCCCCAGCCCACCCACCCCCCCTCCCCCTGCCCCGCCCGCCCCCCCTTCTTCTCCTCCTCCTCCTCCTCCTCCTCCTCCTCCTCCTCCTCCTCCTCCTCCTCCTCCTCCGTAGCCATTTTGGCTCAAGCCATTTCGGCTCAAGAGCCTGCCAGCCCCCGGCGCGGCGGGCCGCGGTCATGGCCGACCCGATGGCGTCGGCGCTCCTCGCGGCGGTGGCTCGTGCCGGTGGCTCGCGCCAGGTGGTGTCGGCGGTCGCGGTCGGCCTCTGGCGTGCGGCCCGTGCCTAGGCGAGCGGCAACCCGCTCGAGGAGAAGGAGCTGGAGGCGGAGGTGCAGGCGCGCGTCGAGCGCATCCAAGCTGCACTCAGGCAGAAGGTCGCGGCGGCGGCCCCAGGCAGGACGGCGTACGTCGACGGCGGCGACAGGGCGATGCGCAACGTGGCTGAGCATCACATGTTCGGGGAGGGCGCCGAGGCACTCCCCAGGACGGGCCAAGAAGCGAAGAGGCGCCAGCGTCATGGTCGCAGGCGCCCTCCCAAGCTGGACAGCTCGACGGCCTCGGAGGGCGAGATGGACGACGGCAAGAAGTTCCAGCAGCAGAGCTCGGTCTCGGAGATCCTGGTCCAGAAGATGGAGTCGATCGAGAAGGCGGTGAAGTGCATCCTTGACGGGTCGGTGCTGCTCGGGAGCTTGGGGCAGCACGACCTAGGCAGCAAGAAGGAGGAGCAGGAAGGCATCGCCAAACCCATCAACTTGAAGGAGTACCAGGAAGACCAGCAACTGACGGCCGCCAGGAAGTACGAGGCCATGCAGCAGGCGGCCTGCGGCGTCGAGCAGGCTAAGAACGCCTTGGCTGAGGCGCAGGCTTGGTTCGACGCGGCCGTTGACGATGCTGTCGACGCTGCCTCGGGCATGGAGGAGGACGAGCGCACGGCGTCCATGGTGAAGCACGGCCTCCCGCCCTAGAAGGTGGCCTTGTGGTGAGTGCCGCGGAGGCTCGTGCCCTCCTGCGGCACTCCTGCGTCGGTGCTGTCGCGGAGGCTCGTGTTCCTCCTGCGGCGTTTGCTGTCGCGGAGGCTCGTGTTCCTCCCGCGGCTGTCTCTTCGCGCGGAGGCTCGTGTTCCTCCTGCGCCGCTGCCGTCGCGGAGGCTCGTGTTCTTCCTGCGGCGGCCGTCTTGGGTCGCGGAGGCTCGTGTTCCTCCTGCGACCCAGCCTGCAGAAAAGGTGATGGATTGGGGCCACGTGTGTGGCAAGGCAGCAGAATCCAGCAGAATCCTCCTCCTCCTCCTCCTCCTCCTCCTCCTCCTCCTCCTCCTCCTCCTCCTCCTCCTCCTCCTCCTCCTCCTCCTCCTCCTCCTCCCCCTCCTCCTCCTCCCTCCTCCTCCTCCTCCTCCTCCTCCTCCTCCTCCTCCTCCTCCTCCTCCTCCTCCTCCTCCTCTCCTCCTCCTCCTCCTCCTCCTCCTCCTCCTCCTCCTCCTGTTCTCCTCCTTCTCCTCCCCCTCCCCCCCCCCATCCCCCCCTCCTCCTGGTGCCGCTGCACCGCGCAATGCTCGATGCGCGGAGCGCTTTCTCAGAAGGCAGCCACGCCTTGTCTCGCCTACTCCCCCCCAACGCACCTTGGACGCGCATGGCACGCTTGCCCGCGTGCGCCGGGCGCCTGGGAAAGCGAGGTCGGCTGAGAACATACCTGGCAGCGGCGGCCAGGGCGGGCGGGGCCGGGCCAGAGGCGACAGGGCCCGGCGAGCGGCACGTAAATCTAGACCTCTCGGCGAGACCCCTGGGCATCCAGCGACCTGATCTCACTGAAGACCCCATTGAAGGGCAGCGCCAAGCCTGAAGCTTGGAGCGGGAGCGGGAGCGGGAGCGCGCCCTGCACGCCGGAGAGCGCGCCGGAGCGCGCCCTGCACGGGCCGCCGGCAAGCAGACCCACCGATTCTCACACATCCTCAACTTCTTACTTGCAAGAGATCAGGTCGTCTGTCCAGCGTTTCAGCGGGCGGCCCGGCGCCCGGCGCCTGGCCGGCGCCCAATCCAGCGCTGCCGATCGACCACCTGCCATCGGTGCTGGCGGCTGTATTCTGCAGAAGGGCAACTTCACGAAGCTTACCTAATTTGACCCGTGTCTTGAAACCTGCCTTCTCCAATTCCCCCGCAGCTTCCCGGGTTGCACGGCCGATCCTATCCAAGCATGGCTCGTCCACGCCATGCGAAGAGACAGACCTCATCGGTGGCGTCGCGATGATTTTCTGAAGCAGCTCCCAGAATTATGTCAGGAGCCTCGTCTCCCTCGCCGCCGCCATGTTCCACGAGCCGCCCCCGTAAAGGACCGTCGACGAAACCACGGCGTCAAACAGGCGAAGCCGGGACCGCAACTGATAACGCTCATTACAAAGCGCAGGCTTGAATTTGCCAGAGGCCCGCATCCACTCGAAATGCGACATTGTATTTCGACGTCGTGAAACCCATGGAACCACAGCTTGCGCCCGAGGTATGATGCGGTTCCGCCGATGGGAGCACTTCCACCCCGCCCCCACCGACGCCCACGTGCGATTGCGCAAGCACCCCCCCTCTCAGGACAACAACGTTAGACATGAGATTTGTCTTCGCCATGTGCAACGTAAGCCCAGCCTGTGACGCCCGCAATGATAAATCTTCCCAAATGTACCGCACATGCGCTTGCTTTGCACCAATCAACAGAATGCCATCAGCGAGCCGGAGGTTCGTCAGACGTTCGCCCCCAGGTTTTGCGCCGAAGCCTCTCTTATCCCAGCATCATGGAGATCACGCGTAACTGATTCCAGCAGAGCATTAAACAGAGTGGGTCTCATTGGACCCC